TAAAAAAAAAACTTTTGAGCAAAAAAAAAAAAAGTAACTTTAAAAGGAGACTAATGCTTAACCCAAATGAACTGGCCTTACGACATCACTGCCACAAAGGCACCCTGGAGTGGGGAAGTCATCTTAAAGTTACTTTCTGCACTAACTACTGCTCCTATCTCCAGTCAAGGCTAACTTTTTCCACAAAGATTTATCCAGTAAGATACTATGTCATCTCTCCCACTTAAGTACAAACAGAATGAAGTAGTATATTCTTTCAATCTGTCTTTATCAGAGAGTCAGATAAAGAGTTTAGTAAACAGATAAATGGGAAGTAGGCAGAACCATGACAGCACACACTTGTAACTGCTCAGCACTTGGGAGGCCAAGGCTGGGAGATTATGAGTTACCAGCAGCCTGAGCTACTTACAGGGAGCGCAGAGTTAGGGGGTGGGGGGTGCGGGGAATCAGAGGGGGTTTGATTATTAGGAAATGGGGATGTACCTCGGTAGAATGTTTGAGTATCCACAAGGTACTCTTTTGATCCCCAACACAGATGGGCAGGGAAACCACAGTATTTACTCTTTTAACTGACTCTATAGTCTTGGATGATCCAGACGTTATCCAACTTACTTAGGCAGTCCCTGTAGATGAACACTCATTTTTATTTGGTTTTTGGCTACCACACGCACTCAAAGAAGGGCCATCATTTTCACTTGCACAGCCATCCTCACAACTGGGTGAATAAAGATCAAAACTTTTAGTTCGTTTAAAATATACATTTCCAGGTGGCTTTAAAAAGCAGCTATCAATATTTTATCAAACAAAAATGAGAGTGCCAGTTTCCGCAGATCCAAGACAACACTCCAGCTTGTTAAATTTTCTTAGTCCAATGAATCTAAAGTGACATCCTATTTTCTGATTAGACTTCCCCTCGACTACTGATTTAAACGCTTTTTATGTGCTTTTTGGCCATGTAGATTTGGTTTCCAAACAGTCTGTTCCTATCCTCTACCCACTGACACGTGTTGCCTCTTTTGGGTCAGTTGGTGAAAGCCCTCTGTGTATCCATCTTACATGCACATGAGGTGGATTGAAGTCCAGGTTATAGACCCTCCCACTAGGAAGGTGAATCCAGCGACGGCTCAGCCGATCTTTGAGTGTCTCAAATGGAATGTTCAAACTGATCACTAAGTCCACGTCACAGATTCTGTCCAGGGCTTCAGCCTGTACTAATGTCCTCGGGAAGCCTAAATGCCAAAACAAAAAATATCAATTGCAAGACACTGCCCAATTAGTACTTGAAATGTTGTCAGTGATAGAAAAATCAAATCTGTATAGACCAAAACCAGAGTTTTAACTAAGAATTGATATCTACCTCTGCAAATTTAATATTAGAAGAAAATATGCTATTTTGTAGCCTAGCTTCTACATCTAGACTAGGTAAAAAAAAAGTTGCATAAGCATTTTAGGTATAGCATGCTGTTTTGCCTTTGACTAAGTCCCATGATCGAAGCAGACTGAACTGAACTGAAAACCACTAAGGCAGTCTGGGATTGAGTGCCAATTTTGTCTTAACCACTTGTGAGACCTGGAGCAAGCAACACTTTCCCATTTCCTCTTCCATTAAATAGAAAGTAAAGAATTCTGTCTGAGCCCATTTAGCTCTTGTCTATTATTAAGTTACCACAAACAACTTTAGGCTTATCTTTGGGTGACAGGCTGAATCAATTAAAATGGGCTCCTCCACCTGGCTCTTCACCTACACTTCATGTGCAGTGTACTGGCTGTATGTAACAATTCCATATCACAAACATGGAATGTGTCAGGAGTACAACAGCACACATCTGTGACCCTGATACCGGGGAAGCTTCAGCAGAAGGATCTCAAGTTCCAGGCCAGTCTAGTGATATAAGCAAGACCCCGTCTCAAAAGACAAAACACCATGCTATACCTAAAATGCTTATGCAACTTTTTTTTCTTTAATAAGGTGTTTTGAACAAACCCACACTCTCCCCTCCAACACCTCCCATATCTCAAAAGACAAAACGCCATGCTATACCTAAAATGCTTATGCAACTTTTTTTTAATAAGGTGTTTTGAACAAACCCACACTCTCCCCTCCAACACCTCCCATATATCTCCATCAATTTTTTCTGACAACTTCATTCTCTCTCTGTTTCCCTCTCTCCCTCCCTTTCTTTCCTTTTTGTTATATGGGGCTTTTTGCTACTCTAACATTACCCTTCTGAAGAGGTAACCCTAAAATCTTTTAGGGGTTAAATAAGAGGTCCCAAATACTTTCGGCATTTTTGGCCTTTGGAACAGAGTATGCTGCTAAGAGACCCAAGGACATTTTGACTTTTAGCCAAGAAACTGGCTACTTTTCTTTGGGGTACCCTAACTGCCTATCCAATTCCTGTCTCCTATTCTTATCACACCATCCTCTGAAGAGGTTACCCAAATTGCTGATAGGGAATCAGGACGCTGACTGCTCTGGCTTCTTCCATGCTGAACAGGGATGCAGGGTGAGGCAATTGGGGTACCCCTTCAGTGGGTCTGTCTAAAAGACTCCCAAATTGCATAACTATTAACTGTGGCAACAGATGGAAAATAAAGTCCTTAAGCTAGTTGACTAAACTATGACCATAGAAATTTTAAGATTATGTGTATATTATTTTTGTCTCATCATTTATAAATCATAACAAACCCACACAGACCTTCATCACTTGCATAGGCTTTCTCTTTTTTTCTATTTTAGAAAATATCTCCTTCCCATATGCTTTTAACATCTTTTACATTCTCATTTTCCTTATTTTAAAAAAGTAATTATGAGACATAATAGCATTAACAAATAAATTTTCCATCTGTTGTAAGAATTCTTTTCCTGGGGATACTAAGCAATGTTTATTTCCTTTTAAGGTTCTACTGTCAAGCCAATATTTGATTAAAGTTTTCCTGAGGAACCAATGAATTTACTGAGCTTAGTTACAAAGATGACTGAGAGGTTGCTGAGGTGTATGAGTGACCTCGGGGTATGCACACTGGAAAGCCTTTACACAGCATGGATCAAGACTTCTCTTCCTAGCCTTCCCCAGATTATATACTATAGTCCTCCCCACATCCAGGAGACTATGTGTGATTAGTGCCAAATTACATACAGTTGGCTGAGAAGAGTGGCTAGATACTCTGGTGAGGGTCCAATGACTCTGCTTGGCCCTCCTTTTATGAATGAGCACAACCATCAACAAGTCCAATTATGACGATGCTTAGCGATCAGGCGCAGCTGAAGTGATGATGGTAGTTATTTCATGCAGCTGAGACTGCTGTAAAGCATCATCTTACTAAAAGTACATGGAATTTAAAAGGACTTGGTACTAGGATCCACTTACGAGGGAGAACATACATCATTTGGTTTTTTGAGTCTGTGTTACTTCACTTAGTATAACAGTTTCTAGTTCCATCCATTTACCTGCAAATTTCATTATTTCATCTTTCTTTACTGCTGAATAGAAATCCATTGTGTAAATATACCACATTTTTGTTAACCACTCATCAGTCGAGGGGCACTTAGGTTGCTTCCATCTCTTACTATTGTGAAAAGAGCAACAAACATGTTTGTACAAGTGTCTCTGCAATAGGATGAGTCCTTTGGGTATATGGGTTGCACAAGTTTGCAATCCCACCAGCGGTGAAAAGAGTGTTCCCCTTTCTCCACATTCTCATCAGCATTTGGTTGGTATCATTTGTTCTCTTGATCCTAGCCAATGTGATTGAAGTAAGGTGATACCTCAGGGTGGTTTTAATTTGCATTTCCCTAATTACTAACTATGTTGAACACTTTTTGAAATGTTTCTTAGCCATCTTTATTTCTTCCTTTGAGAACTCTCTGTTTAGATCTTTAGCCCATGTTTTAATTGGGTCATTTGGTTTCTCACTTCTTTGTTTTTTGAGTTCTTTATATATTCTGGATGTTAAACCTCTGTCAGATGTGTTACTGGTGAAGATTTTTTTCCCATTCTGTGGGTCTTCCCTTCACTTTTTTTGACTGTTTCTCTTGCTGTACAGAAACTTTTTAGTTTAATGAGGTCCCACATGTTGATTGCTGACCTTAATTCCTGAGCAACTGCTATCTGTCTTAGAAAATCCTTTCCTACACCTATACCTTGTAAGTTTCTGCCAATATTTTCTTCTAATAATTTCAGGGTTTCCAGTTTCACATTGAGGTCCTTGATCCATTTGGAGCTGACTTTTGTGCAAGGTGAAATACAGGATCTAGTTTCATTCTTCTACAGGTGGAGATCCAGTTTTGCTGGCACCATTTGTTGAAGATGCTGTCTTTCCTCCATTGTGTGTTCTTGGTACCTTTGTCAAATATCAGGTGGCTGAAATTGCATGTACTCGGGTTTGGGTCTTCAATGATGTTCCATTGATCTATGTGTCTATTTTTGTGTCAGTACCATGCTGTTTTTATGACTACAGCTCTGTACTATACTTTGAGATCTAGTATGGTAATCCCCACAGCACAGTTGCTCTTTGTGCTCAGGGTTGCTTTGGCTATCCAGGGTCTTCTTTTTCTGCATATGAATTTAAGGACAGATTTTTCTAATTCTGTGAAGTATATCATGGGGATTTTGACTGGGATTGCATTGAATCTATATATTGCTTTTGGTAAGATGGTCATTTTTACAATATTCTTCCAATCCATGAGCATGGGAGGCCCTTCCATCTTCTGATGTCTTCCTCAATCTCTTTCTTTAAAGATTTAAAATATGGTAATCCCCACAGCACAGTTGCTCTTTGTGCTCAGGGTTGCTTTGGCTATCCAGGGTCTTCTTTTTATAAAAAAATTATTTTTTTATGTGTATAAGTGTATTGCCTACATGTAGGTAAGTGCACCCGTGTCGTGCAATGTCCATGGTGGACAGAAGAGGCCATCAGATCCCCTGGAACTGGAGTTATGGACAGCTGTTAGCTGCAATGTGGGTGATGGGATTTGAACCTGGGACTTTTGCAAGAACATTCAGTGTTCTTAACTGCTGAGCCATCTCTCCAGCCCCCATGGTTATCCAGGGTCTTTTGCACTTCCATACAAATTTAAGGATGGTTTTCTCTAACTCTGTGAAGTATGTCATGGGGATTTTGATTGGGATTGCATTGAATCTATATATTACTATTGGTAGGATGGTCATTTTCATAATATTAATTCTTCCAATCCATGAACATGGGAAGTCCTTCCATCTCCTGGTGTCTTCCTCAATCTCTTTCTTTAATGATTTAAAATTTTCATTGTAGAGATCTTTGGTGTCTTACATCAGATTTATTCCAAGATATTTTTTGCAGCAATTGTGAACGGGAACATTTCCCTGTATTTTTTCTCCAACTCCTAGTTATTGGTATATTTCAAGGATACTGATTTTTTTTTTAAAAAATAGTTTATTATTTTTATGTGTGTGTGTGTAATGCCTGCATGTAGGTAAGTACACATGTGTTATGTAATGCCCACATAGGACAGAAGAGGCTGTCAGATACCCTGGAACTGGAGTTATGGACAGTTTTTAGCTGCCATGTGGGTGCTGGGATTTGAACCCAGGTCTTCTGCAAGAACAGCCAGTGTTCTTAACTGCTGAGCCATCTCTCCAGCCCCCAGGGTACTGATTTTTGTAGATTGATTTTATAACCTGCCACTATACTGAAAGTGATCAGTGCTAGGAGTTTTCTGGTGGCACTTTTGGGATCTCTTAGGTATAGTATCATATCATCTGAAGAAAGTGATAGTTTGACCTCTTATTTTCCAATTAGTACTCCTTTAATTTCCTTCTCCTGTCTTATTGCTCTAACAAGAGTTTCAAGCACAATGTTGTAAATGAGTGGGGAGAGTGGACGTCCTTGTCTGGTTCCTGATTTTAATGGGAATGCTTCCAGTTTTTCTCCATTTAGAATGATGTTGGCTGTGGGTTTGTTGAATATAGCTTTAATTATGTTGAGGTATGTTCCATCCAGTCCAATTCCCTCTAGCATGCATGCTGAATTTTGTCAGAAGACTTTTCTGCATCTATTGAGATGACCATGTGGTTTTTGTCTATGAGTCCATTTATATGATTAATGACATTCTTTGACTTGAGTATATTGAACCAGCCCTGCATGTCTGGAATAAAGCCTATTTGATCATGGTGAATGATCTTTTTGATGTACATATGTATGTGGTTTGCAAGTATTTTGTTGAGAATTCTTGCATCTATGTTCATTA